GTGCGTATTTTAACCCCCGACCTAACTTTGACTCTAACCTAAGAATTATTATAGCCTGTCGTCTTTGCTCACTACAACCTCTGTCTTTCCTTTCGACGCGCTTAACATGGTCATGTCATTATCAATGCGCCAGAGAATTCGTTGATGAATGACTGTCGGGGCGGATGGTCGAGCTGATGATAAGGATACACAGATGGAATGCAAAGGGCCTTACCTATCTAGCACGGAAGCCCGTGCTGAGCACAGTACTGTTTCGTGAGTTTGGTATTCTTTTCATGCTTGCCCTAGTACTTACCTTCTCCCAACAGATTCGACTCGCCTCTTTTTCCTGGATGACGACGCACGCGCATGATTCTCTCGCACGTCGTTGACCGCTGCATGCGTAGTTATACTCGCTCGTTGGCGGACGACACGTCAGTGGGACATGGGCGCTACGTCGGGATTATGACTCCGACCCTGGACAATCATTCGGTCGTTTGAACTTTGTGTCGCGAGCAGCACAGAGTCTTGACCATACATGATGGTAAGTCCTTGTTCATTTCTTCCCTAGCTGTTCGACTTACTATTACCGCAGTCTTTGGCCGCGATGCATTGCATAGACGTCTTTAGAGGAGCTACGAGACGCGCCTTTTTTACACTTGGCTTCGCGCCCGAGAAGCCCGATATGTAGCTGTTGCTTGGTAAATCCTGTTCCCCATTGTACGCTTGCAGGAGTACATATCAGCTCCCAGACTGGGTGTCAAGACATCACTCTCCGTCGCCTTCAATGCCGCCATCAAGCAACAAAACTCGGATGTGGGGCGCAGCGTCGGGACTTTGACCAGTCCAATCAGGAATACGCCCCTTGCCTTGAACATGGAGGCTCTCGAGAGTCGTTATACCATTCGAGCAAGTCGTTGTCGGCCTGGTCGTGTTAGCCTACGGTGAGGTTTTGATATTTTTTCGGCTTTTATCATAACTGATCAGCGCTGTTCATTAGGCGAACGTGAGGCGAGAATGTGACGAGCATGCCACGGTCGCTATTTTTATATGATGTGTGTACCGGAGCCGTCGGTCGAACATGCCGACATGTGGGCGGGAGGTAAGACGGCTGTAGCTTAGCGGTAAAGCGCATTTGAACATCATGAACAATGTATGCCTGTTCGACTCAGGCCGGTCGTGTCCGCTGAAGTCACATATATTTTTTGAATGGAAAACCTGTTTGCAGGTGTTTTCCAAACAATCCCTTGCTATTTCAACTCCACTTCCACTTTACAGAATCCGCCGCCGCCGTTAGCACTTGTCGACGAGCCGGCGATCCTTCCGGGCTACGACTCCGAGGACCGTCCTAAACCCAGAACGATATATGGTTCTTTGGCCAAGATCGAAGGCCGCTATATGCAATAAGAGTCAGACCTACACCGATGTGCTGGGGCAGCCTTTGCAAGTTGCGGCGTAGAGAGAGCTAAGGCTGCTCTATCTGGGTGCCTTGCAGAAGGGTCAAGCGTGTGTCGGTTGAAGCAGAGCGTCGGCGGATATATCGTGCGTAATGCTATCTACTTCTCGCCCAACAGCCTCTGACATCTTGCTCAGTGTTGCTCGGACATGAACTCGAGAGCCCCTAGTCAAGCTCGCGCTGAGGCGAAGCGCGTTCTCTGCACCCAGCTTACCCGCTCAATCACTCGCGTCTTAGCCAAGGAACCTACGCGAGGCCGACCGTCATGTCGGCTCTGTTTTATACCATCGGCCAGTCTTCGTCGTCGCACCAGTCGATCAGCGTGCAGGGAGGAACCGCATCACGGTCCTCAAAGTCGTCCGCGAGCGGTTCGCCGCCAAGTGGTAGGAAGTTGGAACCACTCAATTACGATCTCGCGTACTTGGCGCCGTACCATCAGGTGGACAATATTATGGCGCGCGTGGAGCTGCAGGAACTTATCGAGCTCGAGACGGAGCAGGGCGGGCAGAGCAGCAATGATGAGGGGAAGGTTAGATTCAAAGCTGAAGCCAGTCGAGTTCAGGATGGCAGGCGTCTGGTGAGTTTCTCCCTTTTTGACTGACTATTCTCTGATTCACCATCCTGCCCGTTTTAGGTTGCAAACCGGTTGTGCTCGTCGTATTCGTTGTGCGACTCATCACTGGGAAATTCGTCTCATTCGTTTGCACATACAATACCGCATGTCCCCGTGTTTGTCAGACTTCGCTGCTCTACCAAGACCTTTCAAAATACCATCGTCGCGACAGAACTGCTCAGAAAAGGACGTGAACGTTCAATGTCCGATACCCTGTTCTTGGACTAGAGGAGATTCTGGCAGTAGCCTCTTCCTCAACAGGTGTGTTTTGTCCCGTCAACGTTACCCCAGTCTGCTAAAAGAGTGTCGATAATAAGAGGCGTCGAACGTGGAAAATATTGTATGACCTCATGGGAAGCAACAAGCGCAGCGGCAGGTCTGCTGCAAAAGGCAAAGGACGGCTGAGCCTCAGGACGATGAAGAGGAGAGTGACAATGGTTAGTCTAAATGTTTTCTCTCCAACTCATGCATTAACGCTGACATGCTCCTTATAGAGTCAAACTGTGGTAGGAAGCGCGCGCGCGACGATGATGAAGAGAAGGAGCGTCGGACCAAGGCTGCGATGCGTCGTAGGAGCGATACGTCTTCTAGCGGTATGCGTCGTTCTCTGATACTACGCAGAACTGTGACTGACTCTTATTTTCCAGACAACGTAGAAAGCGACGAGGACAGACGGCAGAGAAACTTTGAGCTCACCATCACAATCTCATTCGACGGTTCAAGCGACATCAACGCTTCCATCAGTCTTAGGCATCCCGCGACGATGATGACGACGAGGACGAGAAGGAGCGTCCGACTAAGACTATTAGTCGGCGTAACGGTGAGGCGCCTTCCGATTGTAAGCATCCCTCCATATTAGTACGCGACAATGTGACTAATCGTCGTCTTTTGTAGCTGCAGCGATCGCGACCGCTAGCGTGCATGCCTTGCTACCAGTGGGTCGGGATCTAGCCAAGGACAGGCTGGTCATTCTGGGAAGGACCGAAGGAAGAAGGCTGGCATCCTAGCGGCCTCTAGATAGGCCGCCGAGCTGCGCGCTACGTGGAGTATCGCGGACGACGAGATCCCCAAGCCGTGGGGCAGATACACCGCATCTCGTACACGGGCGAAGCCATTCAAGTGAGGCGCTATGTCAGGCGGATGCCATCAACGAGACCGTTCGACTACGAATGTCTTATCGGCCCAAACTCGGAGTGGAGAAGACCCAATTCAGATCCCACGGACTGGAGAACTATGGATGGAACCGGTAAGGTTCTTTCGTTACTGCACGTCGGGCGGCGCGGGCTAAACGCACATTCAACAGCCTTGATATGTTTTAGTCGAGGGGTATGAACACCAATTCAATGAAGCCCTTCGTTATTGGCGGACCCGATTTGTTATCATGCCTACCGTGGTTTCTTGGCCGGGTAAGTGTGGTTAGCGTCTCAGTTTGATTCGTTAGCTCACATCAATCGCTGTCAGACATTAATTTTATCGTCTAATTGGCGAGTATGCTGTACCATCGACGCCGCAGTTACAATCGCGATACGATACTTTGACGCTAGGCCGGTCGAGCTATTGAAATCCTCTTTTGCGAAGCTGCCGATGAAGAGGAGACTAATTCTGAGTGAAACTATGGTCATTAAGGTAAGAATCTGTTTACATTCAATCTATTCATTACTGACAACATGCACCCACCCTTACAGCGCAGCGACCAAGCGGAGGCAGTCATCCTACACCACGACATCATCCACAACCCCGCGACCGTGTTCCACTTTGAGCTGCAGTGGATCGGGACCACAGGCCGGTACATCGAGCGATACGGGCCAGTGAGACTCGTCGAAGCCTCCGTCACGCAAATCAGCGACATACGCGACAGCAATGCGTTCCAGTCGTGCTTCCCCGTCGCCCCACCCCCAGCCGTGCCAGACCTCCACCTCCACCTGCGCGTGCCCGAAGGCACCCACACGGCGCATACGCGCTTCTCCGTCGGTTCGGGTTTATTCTGGATGTGGAAGCGTCGGATGTCTATCCGGACGATGTGGATGGATGTGGTGTATTCATACCGACAAGTACTCGCCGTTCATTCATCGGTCGGGGGTGGCGTTCATCCTGGTCAAGGGTAGGACGGAGGGGTTCTTGTTCTTGTGATGGGCGAGAGGTAAAGAGAAGAAGCGCCGGGCTGTGGTTGAGGGTCGATTTGGACGCATTCTGTTCGGATCTGGCGATGTTGGAGGACTTGTATAGGGCGGAGGTCAAGCCAACGCCACCTGAACCTCGGCTACTGGAGCTCTGAGATCTATGTAGCGCCACACTCGCATTTTTTCTTTGACTTCTGCTGCACCTCATTTCAATTTGTTATCCCATTTTTGCTGTTATTAGAGTAGTACATTCATCAAGTACCAGCTTTCTCAAACCCTCAAAGAGTACTACTAAGAAGCCTTGGCCCTTTACTTAGTCTGTACTATAATAGTTTGTGCTTAGGCGTTGTGAAAGGCATCAAGGTCTGACTGGACTAGAACACGAGGAGTGATATAAAGCAAGATGAACTTCAAGAGTAGCTACAAGTCACTGCTGGTCTTATGAGATCATTGATCAAGTCAGAAGTCTTCTGGGCCTTATGGTGGTGCAGTAAACCCTAGGTTTCGATACACCTCAGGTTTACTGCAGTTATTAACAGTATTGATACGGTATCGAAACATCGGCCAACAGTTTCATACCGACACATGACAAATTCACGTGATGTCGCACTGGCACTCAGGCAAGCTGAAAGTGGTGCCATAAGGGCGGGCGGAGGGCGGCGAAGCGGTGCGCCACATCACGTGGTCAAAAGCAGGTGCCGGTATCGAAACCGTTATTAATGGTTTCAAAACCAGGGCCTCCCGAGGGGTTGGTATCAATACCACCCCCGGAGGTTTACTGCGCCACCCTATTGGGCCTCAAACAAAAAAGAATCCGAAGACCGGTAATCAATACAACCGGCCTGACTTGAACAGGCATCCAAGTCTCAGATTTGAGTGCTTGTGCTCTACGAGCTGAGCTACAGTTGTGTTCGGAGCATTCTGATCAAATTGTCCATCCCGACATTATGTCAAATCGATACGTGCGAAGTTCATCGATACCACTCTATCTTCGAAAGACTTGACCTCAAAGCAGTTCGACGTGTCGCTGAAGAAGCTTAGGACCTCACAAGGAGAAATCGAGACCGCGAGCGTGAACGTCTTTCCAGAAGGTCGGGATCTTGAAAACGAAGAGCGGCAGTTGAATGCCAGAGTGGTCATGCTAGGGTGTGTTACATGTATGAGAGGAAATGGAACATCGTCCTTCAATGCGTCTAGCACTGACCTGTCCGGATCCGTTCAAGGCATCGGTACCAGTATCGAGAGGCAGCAGACATGCATTGCAAGGAGATCATGATTCTTCGCTCGTGGCCGTTTACTTTGTGCGAGGCGTACGATATACTCATGTGTTTGGCTTTACAGTTGCCGCAGGGAGGCTCTGAGGAATGTTGATTCATCGATGTACAACAAAAGCAATGGAAAAAAGTCACCAGTTGAATTCGGGATTACAACCGGCCTGACTGGAACAGGCATCCAAGTCTCAGATGTGAGTGCTTGTGCTCTACGAGCTGAGCTACGGTTGTATCGATGCAAGCGTAGTAATTAACTCCCTTATATATCTGACTGAAAGCCTTGTTTTCGAGAGACGGCATCCAGTAAATTATTCCATTGAATAGCATCCTTTAATGATCATCTGTCTGCCGAAATGCATTACGGTTCCTTTATTTTCGCTCACAATAAGTACCATCTCACTTGAAATAAGTAACCTCCCTCCCCCGATCGAATGTACCGCCCCTCCGCCACGCCCACTCAAGCTCCGAGGAAGAAAGAGCTGGAACACCGTGACTAGCGGCGAAACATGGAGTGGCTTCCCTGCTTCTCCTCGAAACGGGGCGCGTGAACGGCCGTGAGCGGTGCTGATCTTGAAGTTCATCATCGTGATGGTGATGGTGGATGATGTAGATAGCCGCGGGTATGGAGGCCACACGCGATAGATCACCGAAGGCGTTGTCGGGCGAATTTACGACGCTGACGGATCGACAGTTTCTACACGAGTGGTGTGAGTCGAACAGGCGCTTTCAGCAGATGTATTGTGATCTTACCGCGCTACAGTTGTCGCAGGAAGGCTGAGGAATGTCGAATCTTGATTCATCGATGTCGGATGTACACCAAAAGCAATGTAAAAAGGCTTAAGTGTGCTCGGTACATACAACCGGCCTGATTTGCACAGGCATCCAAGTCACAATCAGATTTGAGGGCTTGTGCTCTACGAGCTGAGCTACGGTTGTGTCTGTAGATCCCTTATCAAATCATTCATGTGGACAGATGAGCGGACTGAAACCTGTAAATACGTTCAACGATATCATTCCATTTTCGAGAGAATGCATCAAGTAAGAAAAACCTGTCTAGGCAACCTCAGAGCGGTGTACTTTGGCATGCAAGGTCAACGATCATTTGTTCTTTGCACGCACACTGGAATCATACCTCTCCCTCTCAACCGAATGTACGATCCCTCCAGCAGGCAGGTTCCGATTTTCTTCCAAGAAGGGCGGTCCGCTATAACACCGCGATGAGCGGCGGAACATGCGTTTGGTTCACTTCCTCACCTCAAAAGTAGGAAATCCAAGCGGGACGTAAGAAGGATATAGACGAGATCACGACTATCGTCAAGTACCCGTCGATCCCTACCCCAACGGTATAAGTATTACCATAGGTTTGCTGGGACGCTATTAGTATAGTGTCTGCATTCGCAACAATTAACAAGAAGACCAGTCAATGAATTGAGCCCGAATGGAAGTAAGAAGAACGGTAATGGTACACGTTTATGGCACGTCGTGTGCGCTAACCAACATATCGCGTCCATTTGGCCGAACCGAACGCCGACCTGGATCCCGGGACAGCGGTTTTCGCATGTCTGATCGAAATAAGATTAGAGGGAGGTGCGAACAAGGAAAATGCAGACTAACCAAACGCGTCTTCCTCGTCCTTGCCACCCTTCCCGACGCCTAAACTTCCATAGTACTCCCGAACCCTCCGATACACGCTGTAGCCCAGCCCCTCGTACATCTCTATCGCGGAGGTATTGGTGCACCGAACGTAGAGATCCACAAAGTATCCGCGATAGCTTTGGTCCGATACCATTTCCAGAAGCGTCATCATTTTACGTGCCAGCGATAGACGGCGGTATTCTGGGGCGACCGAGATGGCGGTGACGTGTCCATGCCATTCAGTGTTGGCTTCTGGTTTTCCGGAGCCTTCTGCCTTTCCGAGGACTGGACGTAATTTATTAAAATGTCGGATGTCAAAAGTGTGTTACACACCATAGCCCATCATGCGCCCACGCGGAGATTCTTGGACACAGCACAGGTCGGGCCAGCGAGAGAGATAGCCAAGATAGAATCCGGGATTGTACTATGTATTGGCGCGTTAACGTTTATTAGAAGGGAAAATGCAATGCTCACAGTTTCTGTCCATACATCCAGGTTGCTACAAAAACAAGTCAACGATTCTGAACAGGTACGAAAGCGAAAATGCATACATGTTGTTGTAAGTAAACATGTCAGTCGCGCGGAAAGATCGTAGGACACTCATGGCGGCAGGACGAGAGAGACGTGACTTGGACTCCGGTCACCGCCGAATGCGTCTTGGTCCCTGACCCCAACCACTTTCTCCGTAAAAACAAATAAAAATGGCGCAGAATCAACCACAATACGTACATTACACCGGTCCTCCTGGATCTCAGGCGCAACCTGCACCCCAGCCTGCGGCGCGCCAGTCAACCCCGGCACATTCCACGCCGCAACCACCACTGGTAGCAGTCGGTGACTGGACCAAGAACCTCGTCGAGCTCGCAAAGACTGCCGAACTCAAGTGGGTCTTCCATACACGCCTCATCTATGCCCATTCAAGGCCAAATCAGGAAACACGCGCTGACTCTGCAGCTCCATACGGCGCACATCCTATCTGCGCACGCGTCATTAGAGCAAAAGACGAAAGCGATTCAGGATGTCAGGGAGCAAAAGAACAAGTGTGTTTTCTCCCATCCTTCGTGACAGCCGACTGATCATCCGAATTAGATTGGAAAGCGAGCGTCAGCGGCTGCTCAACTGCCTTAGACAGGTGGGCCATCTACTAAAGCATATAATCCGAATCTAACACGGGCCCCACCCCAGGTGAACGAAGACCGTGACAAGGCGCGTCCCACCCATCCCCATCTCCATCCCCTCTGATAAATCCCATAGGCTGATCTACTCGAATCCACGATCGACAGAGAGCAAGTCGCGTATCTCCTCATTCCGCACTATAAATCTCTTACCCCCCGCCCCGCAGATGCACCGAAATCCGGCAGCGAATCACGCAAATAAGCGAAGGGGAGTACACTGAAGCCAAGCGCGACGTCGACCGGCTGCGCCAGGAGCTTGGCCACCCCCCTCTCCCCAGTCTGCAGAACACGCTCGATGAAAAGTCGTCGCAGTGAGTACTCCCATGATCTCCATCACGCGTACTCACGTCCCATCGCCAGATTCCTAACCGAGCGCCGCTTGAACGGGACCGAGGCGAGCGGCAGCAGCAGCTCGAAACGCGCTGCGGCCGATGATGGCGCTGGGGCGCCGCCGGGCAAGAAGCGTGGACGGCCCAAGGGGAGCAAGAACAGGACGTCATCGTCTTCCAAGGCTGGTCCGTCTACGTTGCAGAGCTGAACGGTAAACGTCGCCACGGGGAGTGATTTGCACGTCGAGTGGGGAGAGCTGCGCGGACAGTTATATATTTGTTGTTACGTCCATCTTCGTCTATCTCGCACTGTACTCTATGTTGTTAGCTTAAGCATTGATTGTTTGTATTCTGTACAGTGTACTACATACCAGTTGCTATCGAATCCACACACTTCTAAGTCTGAAGATTTCGGTTTAAGCGGATCATAAGGTAGGACAACAAGCATGAAGATTTGGTCTTGAATGGTAAGTGGACCTCGTTTTATTTACGCCTTTACTAATGTCTCCGCCAGTAGCCTGCGACGTTCGGAATGTTGTCTTCGGGACGCGCGACTTTCTCCCGCCGCTCTGGACCATACCGCACGCCGTTGAACAATTCGACACGCTTCTGCTCCTTGGACAATCACGACTCATGCGCGCCGCTCCATATGTAGTTATGCTCGCTCGTTGGCGGAGGACACATCGGCGGGGGTATGGGCGCTACGTCGGGATTATGACTCCGACCTGGAAGGCCTTTGGTGGTTTGAAGGATAGCACCTTGGAGTCGCTGTATCCCAAGTATGGAAGCTGTCGTTGGCCTCGTCGTGCTTAGGTGAGACTTTTAAATCCGGTTCATTTCTTCAAAAGCTGATTTTATCGTCTAGACTATCACGAGGCTGAAGGTAGCCGAGACTCGGACGAATGCTACTACGGCATGGAGAATATGCCATCGTTGTCATCGTGCAAATCGCGCCGGACCAGCCAGATGTGGCGGGAGTCGGGACAATTCTCAAGTGGAACGCGAACGCTGGAATGTGTGGACAGACTATATTAATGTGAAGCCTCTCGCTTAACGTGAGGCATCGTCGCTCTCTCGTCACGTCATGGTGAGCTATTCAATTTCCCGTCTGTTGTTGCCCAATTGATTAGACTACTATTGCAACAAGTGTCGACGTCGGAGTAGATGCGACGACGACTTTGATCAGTCCCGGTGAGTCTTTCGGAACGTCTGTCAACATTGAGTTGATTCCAACCTCGTCATCTCGACAGACTCTGCCAACCGAAGTTAGATGGGGTGGCAACGCTGTGCACGCCATAGCTATCACTGGATACCTACTTTACCGGTTCTATTGTGTAGTGTACGCAGTATTAGTCTACACATTTCCAATAGGCAGTTCATAGTAGGTCGTCTCTCCTTTACTTATACTATCTCTTACTGACGAGTTTCCGTAGTTTACACGCACAGAGTCTCCTCCCCGTTGTATTATCCTCAAGAATAGTAAAGTCGCCACGGGGAGA